GTATGTGTGTGTGTGTGTACTGGATACCCATTCTTTACCATGAAACTATGTGATCAGGCAATGCAGGAGAAATCTGGTTCACTCCAGTTCAATCTGTTGGCTCAGTGGTGGTTGGTAATTGAAACTGATAAGGGAATATCGCTGCCACCACCTTGAATCAGGAAGCAGTTCCATTGGTGGAAGGCATAGACATTTTGGTAAGCTACCAATGTTTAATATTGTAAGAAGCCCCAGACCGCTCCTGAGTGAAGGAGTGCAATGTCTGCCAGTTTTAACTGAGGTAACGGAATGTGTGGCAACTGGCAGTCAGAACAGAGTTTTTTTCAGATGAGGAGGGGGAGTAGAATGTCTAACTCCTTACCATCAGAGTGTGTTAATTACTGTACAAGAAATACTAATGATCTGATGGTAATTTTTTTAAAAATCCTTTCTTAACGAGCACCTAGAAGCCAAGAGGAACATGCGTGCCAAATTTCAAGTTTGTAGGCTTTACAGTTCTGGAGATTTTGTGATGAGTGAGTGGTATTTGGCTTTTACATACTGTATATAGATACAGTATCAGTGGTGGGTTCCAGCAAGTACAGCCCAGTACAGGCATACCGGTGACAGCTGGGAGCAGTGATTACCATACAGGAACGGTGTTCTGCTGGGTCCACTCGCCTACCCCCATTCCTTATCTGCTTTTAAGCCAACTGGGCCATTTGTGCACGCACGTATGGTGCCTGTGTGACTTCTGTTAAGCAGTTGGAGCATCGCAGGGCAGTGGGTGCTCATGCATGCGCAGCGCACATGCCTGAGGTGGATGCCCAGCCTTGTTGAAGTATACTGGTTGCGACGGGATCCAGAACCCACTACTGTACAGTTTGTATATACATATTCAATATTAATTAGCTGTTTAATCTAATGCAATTTCAAGATCTTCCTCTTTTTTGTTTGTTTTTTCAAAATGTCTCTTATGTTTGTTTAGTACTCTATAAAGAGATAACAGCCATGGAATAGTGAAAAACAAAAAACAAAATCTACCCTTCATGTTGCAAACTTCTCCTCTACACCCATCACTTTATTCCCAACACAATTTTAATGCTCTTCAATAATAATCTGTTCTGGAATGCAATAGCAATCTTTCCAGAAGACTGAATCTTTCCAGAATAAACCCATTTTTTTAAAAAAGGAACCCCAATTTGCAATTGATAGTCTGGCTTTTTTTGTGTGTGTGTGTGTGTGTGTGTGTGTGTGTGTACACACACACAGTATGTTCCCTCCCATATTTGGGCATACCAGGTGCTTTGACATAACATTTAATCATTACCCTGGCTCAGCTAATAAGGGAGGAGAGCTTGTGGCTTAGAGGTTAATAGAACTGC